TCTGATGCTAGCTTGAAAATCTGTACCAGACTCTGTGCAGGTCCAATCAGTCAAGCATGTAGGCTGTGAGTATAATAAGAGTAGACCATAAGAAAAAGTGGTAGATGTAGTGACCTAAGCAAACATACCAGAGTATCTGACTCAGGGGTTAATCATCCCTGAGAACAGAACGTCTTTAAAGGGATATTAAGCAACAGAAACATTGAACCTTAGAAACACAGATCTGCTCTTATACTGTCATACACACTACCCAGCTGTTAACCAAAGAAGACATGCAAGTGAGGAACAAGTCTCCAAAGTGAAATTCAGTGTTGCAGTCATGTCTCCAGACTTTGAGGGCTCTATTTTTTGTCCTTCGCCGGAGACGTGGCGCAAGCGCAGCATAAGTCAGGTCCATCGCGGCAACAAGGCGTTCCCAAGCACAATGCGCAGCCCGACGTAAGTATCCCCCCTCCCTAACTCAGCTCCTCCCAGCGGCATAAGTCGTAGCAAGGGAGGAGAGAGGGCGTGGAGTGGGTTTAACACAGCCGAGACCTGTATTGACCAATAACACCAGCTTCTCTCCTGATGAGGCGTATTACAAATAGAGGAAGAGGAAGAAAGAAAAAGGATGGAGACGAATTACATATCTTGTTAACTTCATCATGTGTGTCTATTTACTAGATACTTAATTTAATTTAATGCGGTTTCAGCTGTGTTGATTCAGTCAGGTTGAGTGTCCAAACGCGTGCCAAACGCGCTCATCAGATCAGATATAGATCAGAATATATCTATATAGATCTAAATGTATGTGCTGACTCAGATTATTGGTTGTTGTTGATTATTTATTGCACTGAAATGTGCCTGATGCTGTGGAAACCTGCCTGTGAGGCATCAGTGACAAATGCTGTAACGCTGCCAGTCTACCAAAATACCACTAGACCAGCTGCGCTCCGCCTGCGCTGAAAGCTGACCAGGTTTGAATTGGCGAGCCACCGGCGAGCACGAAAATGTCACTGCGCCAGCTGATTCTGTCAACACCTCCCCCTGCCACGCCACCACGCCTGGGTGGGTGGATCTCGGTGTGCCTCAGTCTACGAAATACCAAACTGGCTGTACGCCGGGCTCTGCCAGACGAAAATACCACTGCGCGGGGTCCACCACCATCCGCCGCGTCCCCAACGGACACGAAAATAGAGCCCTGAGTTTTAAGTTTAATTGGGTCAGAGTCAAGTTGAATTACTTGAGACTGAGTTAAGTCCCCAGCATCATACATACATACATACTTTAATACATACTTTAAGTTTACTGCAAACTATTATCTGTATGGAGCTTAAATGACTGTGCCTAAAATGTAATTCCAGACCACATCACTCTTATTGTAACGGGAAAATGTCATTATTACTGCTGGATCCCTGCATATGCCTAATAACTCTAAAACACCAGCAGTCACTCCCTTCATATCAGAGTTTTTACAAACCAAACATCTTGGACTCAGTGGTTCTGTGACTTCAGATGCAAACATTACCGTTAGCCTAACAGTAATGCAATCAAAAGTTCATGTAGATATAAAGAAGCATCACACTTACATGGATGTCTGAAAATACTTGAGCTTCTGTATCTCTGGTCATTCACTGTTCATGTTTGCTTTTCATAATCACTCTGGCTGTAACTATTCCTGAATAAGACAGTACGGGAATGAAAATCAGACCTGGAGTTTGGCTCTAAGTAGACGAGTCCATTTGGTTGACTAGAACATTATGGATTTATACATAGACATTTCTGTGAGGTTTAAAAATGGCCATAGTAACATGTTTTACTGGGTTATTTATGGCTATAATCCTGGCTGAGAAGAAGGTAAGTCTCATTGTTCATGCAAAGGAAACCAATATTTACCCTAAAGTTCATTTCTGACACATTTGCAATAAAGTCAAGTAATCGCAAATCTGGATGGACAGCTTTCTGTGTTTGTAACCACGGACTGTGTAATGAGACAGACAACATAACAGAGTGAAATCAAAACATTTGGAGCTCCCATCACTGACTGGCTGCATTAAAGGTCATAAACTCTGCCTCCTCCATTACAACAGATGGGATATGGGTCAAATTACAAAGTCAAAATAGAGGCAAGAGAAATTTCTCCAGAACAGTTTATTTTACAAAATACAATTCATAGTGGTCCTTTTCCCCTTTATAAGTTTCATTTTAATTAGCTGTTGGGTACAAAAACTGGAGTGTGACATGATGGTTGACAGCTCTGTTGACAAATGTGGCTCCTGTGGGGCTGCATGCACTAAATAAGCATAAAAAATGGAAGGGTAAGCAGACACTTAAGATAGACTGTTATAAGAGTTATTTTAGTTTTACATTATTTATTTTGACTCTGCATTAAACTGGAAGAAGAAGCTGCTCTGATGGACTTATAGACCATATTTGCTTGAGGGATTTTTGTAAGTGGGTAAATTTATTCTGTGTTTTGGTGCTGAAGGGGCTGGAAGTCAGAATCGTGGCCTGGAGAGCTGATTCTTACAGCTCTGGATCTAGTTCTGGACATTCCTGACTATGTTGGCCAAGCTAAAACACTCACTTTTGTCAAGGTGGTGGCATGAAACTTTTCTGCCCACTCATGTCTTTTTATTTTTACAGATGTCACATCCCTATATTTGATGTTTAATTAAAATTGTGACACAATAAAGTCACCTCAACTCTTTGAAGACACCAATAAGTTCATCTAAATTCAGAATGGGCAATATTTAAAGCTAGTGTCAGGAACTTTGTGTCTGTGTTGACTTTAGCGCCCCCTGTGGTCAAAATAGGAACCCTGACAACGTTGCCGACTTTGTCTCATCATTTCAGAATAATGTTAACTCACATAAAAATCTCTCTCTTAGTTGTCTATTTACACTGAAACATATTAGCATAAATATTTGCTGCAGTAAAAGTGACTACAGCTGTTTTTTGTTTCTTTTCAGTGTACCTACCACCTCACAGTAGTTAATGACCATGTAAAACTTGCCAGTCTTTTCATCAATGGTCTGATTTGATTCTGCACATTATAGAGACACAATGCTGCCAAAAGAAAAGAAAAAAAAAACACCCTCACAGGAGCTTTAAGAAAACTGCAAACAAGCTCCTGCACATGAACTGTGAAAAACCTGTTTGCATGTATTCGTGAATGGCTTCCTTACGTACAGCCGGTTTTTCTCACACTCACAAAACTGATCCAAACAAATGTATGAATGTACAGGGCAAAGAAATATCTTCTTGGTGGGCAGAAAAAAAGCTTTTTTTACTCTCAACTGAAGACAACAGGAGCAAACAATGTACGCTATTTTTCCAGGATTTATGGTGCACAAGTTTACATTTGTTGGTATGTCATATGCAAGGTCACAGCCACATCCATTAAATATCAGGATGCCTGTGCAGTCTGTGCTGCTGCAATAAAAGCTTTTTCAGTTTCTCTCACTTAGTAAAAATGATGAAAACAACGGCAGAAACTTTTTTACCACAATAACATGTTTTTCTCACGGAGGCCCAGTGTGCTTTCTTTGACTTCTATCTGTCATTATAATCTCCAACAATGCCCGCTACATTACAGGCCCTTGACTCTGAGTCTGCAGGCTACACGGTGACAGCTGGAGGTAATTCACTTTGCTTCATTTTGTTCCCTGCTAACGGCTCATGGGATGATAGCGGCAGCGCAGAAGCTTTAATCATATTCCTCTGCCTTCAAGAGAGATATTGCTTTTTCTCACAGTTTATTGGGTGGGTAGCAGAGATGTGTGTGTATGTGTTATAGAGTAAAATGGCAGGGAATTCAGGACCTGGTTGTCGTGTGTGTGCACAAGGCTGGTAGGTGTCATAGGTGGCCAGGGGACATGTATCATCGATCTGCCACTCGGGGCTTCCTGTACACGAGCTGGCATTAAAATGATCCATGGCCCCTTTCCCGGGCTAATACCGGTGATATTGAGATATCAGACCGCTGTTTTCTGTTCCTGGCAGCAGGGGGGCACACACCCACACCAGCAGAGCTTACACACATACACTCACACACACAACAGTGGGAGAGAGGGCTTCCACAGGGGCTGAGGTGATAATCTAATAGGGACATTTGTTTTTGTCTCCAGCTCATTCCTCGCTTCTAGCCTCCTCTCTCCTCTTCAAGCTCCGAAACAAAAGCTCCCGTCTGGGGGGCCCGCCACCGCTGCCTCTGCTGCTGCTGCCTCTGCTGCTGCTGCCTCTGTGGCGTATAAATAACAGTCGCATGACAGCCAAACAAGTGTAACACACACCATCTGGCCCGCCACCGGTGTCAGCCTCAGTCACAGAGACAGGCAGCAGCAGCGTGCAGAAAGGGGAGGAGGTGGGGATTATATGATCAGCATGGCATCTCCCCCTCACCTCCAGAGGGATGGGAGCCAAAGCAGGATGTTGTCAGGTTGTTTTTGACCCACTTGCAAATAACAACAAAAGTGTGACTTCTTGAAAAAGTGTGAAAACATATGCGTCGCTTAACTGAGCTTCATGCGAGGTAGAGGATTTATCCGAAGGTACAGCATGCATTATCTGCCAAATGTATAATCACTTCTGGCTACAAATCAAATGAGTCATTATGAATCTGTCCACAAGCAGGATGTGGGATGGGAGCAGGCTGCCCACATACGGTAGATTTTTGTACACAGAGGGTTTAGTTGTGTAAATTCACTGCAGTTTGGGCAGAAAATAGAAGCTGAATGCATGTTTTTTTTTTTTTTTTTTCCTTCTATCCTGTTATCTCTGCTTCTACATCGAGTTACAGCCTCTGGAAAAAAAGCAGGGGTTCATCCTCCCTCATGATTGTTCTCTATTTCATGCCTCTGATATCATTTTTTTCATCACTCCCATGAACCCTGATCGATTCCAGCAAAGCATGCCCCATTACCAAGAATGATCCATTGATGGGCAAAGAGGGATATTAATCAATGTAACCCTCATAGTTAACAGCCTTGTTATTCTTTTGCAGCCAAACAAAATGGGGACTTGGCTGTTTGAGGCTCGTTATTAAGAGTGCAGGAGAGCAGACATTATACAAAGCTATTGATCATGTGTAAAGACAGGCCTACACAGTCAATCCCTACAGCCTATGAAAAATGCTCTGTTTATGAGTGCATCCTGCAGAGAAAAGCTGCCTTTCTCTGTAATCTGTGCTCTGTCTGCCGAGGCAGCTGCTCCCGTTTGGCCCTTTATCACATGTTCACAGCTCAGGGAACATTTCGTCAGAGGAGGCGAGCAAAGTACAGCGACTCCGGTTTGTTCTTTTGCTTTTGAAAACGATCTTTGTTAAACTTACATCGAATGAATGACATCACTTATTGTATAAAGATATATTGTTAAAATTTCTACTTTTTATCAAGATGTAAATTCACTTTGGATTATTTTCTACAGATTTACCGGAAACGTTTTCACTGAAAACTTGTTGGGGTGTCGATGACAAGGCAGCTGGAGAAAACACAAAGAGAACCGAGAGAGCCAGATTACTTCATGTGAAAACATGTTGCATGATGTATTTGAATGCTAAAAAATACTTTAGGTAATTTTGAGCTGTTCACTCTAGTTTTATGGGACCATTACATGCCTGTCATTACTTATCTTCTGGAGCATAAAAATAAAGTATTTCAGCTCCATGTTTTTTGGGGTTTTTTTGTGCGTGTGTTTGTTGAAAGGCTGAAAACAACCTCTTAAGGCTGACCACAAAAGGAGCATCATTCCCCATTCCCCAGAGGAGAAATGATCATAATTACAGTCAGGGAATACAAACAAACAAAATATTTTTTGTAGTCATGACAACTATATTGGTCTTGATTTCATTGAAAAGGAAAAGAAAAATATTAACCAGCTTCCATTTTAGAAATTGTTAAAATTTTGCCAACAGAGCGTGACCCTTCGCTGTTAATGTCTCAGGTAATTGGCTGACGATATTAATAATACTAACAGAGGTCCTTGTAGTCTGTGATCAGAATGTTTTAATGCTGCAGCGGACTGCTAACAGTGCAACCTGTTACACCCATAGACTTTATACAGAAAGGACAGAATCTGCCTCCTCGCTGGGTGAAGCCACTCGGAGAACAGCACCCTCTGGTGACAGGCTGCAGTATAGGTCATAAATCCCACCTCTGCCAGCAAAGCTTATGGAGCTGTGGACAAACTTTAGAAATTTATTACACAGAACATACATTTTTCTCCCCCCTCGGTTGTGATGTTGACATGGAGTTACTGTAAGACTGGTATGTGCTCAAGTCCTTTTTTTCTGTAAAGCTCAATTTTTAAAGGTAATAGGGGCTTCATGTTCTCTACTATTGACACTTGATACAGCCTATGGGTGTATGAAGATCGCTGTTTGAGCCGAGCGTCATCAAAGCGACTCTCGGCGACCCCCCGCTGAATGCGCACAGTGCTACTGTGCAAGTGGTGGAGTGCGTACAATGTTTCTGTGCGATGTTGGTTTCAGGAAATGGAGAGAAAACACAGAATTACCAAGAGCTTTTTGGCTTCAAATCCGCACACTGGTGGAAGGCAGAACCAAGCTGCCCATACTATATTCAGTCTGTGGTTACATCATTACTACAGATCACTGCAGGCAACAATAATAAACACACTCGATTTATCCTGATTTATCCATTTCTATGTCCAAGACAGAAAACGTCCCTCCAAACTTTTTCATCTCGAAGAATATGTCAGCAGTCATCAGTGAATCTGACTCGGAGTGAGAGATCTCTGACAGATCGCATTGACAACGTAAGCATTAGGGATTATCATGTCAGCTACTGTGTCAGAAAACGAGAGACACAGATGTATTGTGCGTATTAATTGTGAGGTTAATAGATGCTCAGATTCATTTTTTCAGCTGTGTGAAAATCAAAAGGCCTCTTGTTAAACGTCTGTGGCCAAATTCCTTGGAGGATACATGTATCCAATTAAAGCTGCTTATGTGCCTGTGCTAATGAATGACAAATGCATGTGTTAATCAACCTTTTCACACCGTTATTGCTGCCTTATTTTTGTACATTCCTGCCTCCTGTAGATTTACAAAGTCTAACAGAGTAAAAATGACAACTCACAAACACAGAGGTGTGCTTACACGCCCTGTTGTATGAAACAGGAGATCCCGCTGAGACTCAGTGATTGACTGGCAGGAAGAGTTGTGGAAAAGCAGATCAGGAGCGTGGAGGGAGAAAAGACTTCGCTCATGTGAGTGTTTGGTCTCTCCAACTCATAATCCTCAATAAACAGTGTAAACTCGGAAAGTCAAATATTTATACCCTGTACCCCCACGCCTCTGATCCTCCCAATGTGTGCACACTGCTGTGGATAAATATATTACCAGAGAGACGTGTCGATAAAGTTAATAACGGGAAGGTCAGTTCATAACTGGATCTAATAATAATCCAACCCCTCTAAAACTTTAGATGAGGAATAAACTTTTTATCCTCCCAACAGCTCAGATTAACTATTATATCTCTGTAGTCATTCAGATTATTCAATTTCATTCATGTGAGAGATGAACAATAGACTTGCATTCATTTTCAGCATGACCAGTTGGTTTGCTGACTGTTCTTTAAAGCATTTAACTTGACATTCACTGCCATTTTCAGTGTCTGGAATAAGAAGAGGAAGCATTTGTGCAACAGAGTAGAGCGTTTGAGGAAACATGAGTTAGTCAGTACTAATGTAAAATTCATTACATGGCAAAACTCAAATTTAGGCAACTGTCAAAGAAATTCAAGTAGGTGTCATGAAACATTGGCTCATATTACATCTAATGAGATATTTTGACTTGAGGTACGACAAACTGCAGTCATAATTTGTCTCATCTCAGGTCCAAAATATCTCATTAGATGTTATATGAGCCTAAGTTTTCTGACACTTCCAGATAAATATCTTCTTTCAAAATATTAAAAAGGATAAAAATAACACATTAAGTGCTAAAAGAGACACTGGTAGACACTTTCACAGATGTCCAGAAGATGGTTATTGACCCTGATTAAGTAGGGTAAGCCACAGACAGTCATTGCTAAGAGGGCTGGCTGTTCATGGAGCGCCGAATTGAAGGCTATTCAAGGGAAGTTGGCTGAAAGGGAAGAGGTGCACAAGCAGTAGGGATAACCATAGCCTTGAGAGGTTTGTAAAGATCATCTGAGTGTTGAACTTTGGAGAGCTTTTACATTTCATTTAAAAATCAACGTCCCAGAGATTGGAGGAAGAGGCCCAGAATTCAAGGTCTTTGAAGTTCAGCATTTTCACAGCCTGAGATGATTTAGAGTGCCAGATTATCTGCTAGTGTTAGTCTAACGTTTTTTAGAGTCCAGTTTCAACACAGCCTAAAGTGACTTCATGCATCCATCTGCTGAGAAACATTAGGGAGATACAGATCTCCTTTTCCAGCAGGACTTAGCACTATGTCAAAACTTCTACCAAATGGTTTGATGATTATGATATTACTGTTCTTGACTGGTCAGCCAACTAGCCCGGCTCGAACCCCACTGAGAATGTGTGCGACAATGTCAAAAACACAGGGGACAAACACCTCACCCATTAACAGAGTCCAGCCAAAGTCTGCCTTAAAAGCATCCTGGGATTTATCAACACCTCAGCAGGGTTACAGGCCATTCACCTACATGTCACTCCACATTGACGGTTAACGTGTCCCAGTGTAGAAGTAAACATACTCTTCAGAGGATGGACATGTAATGAATATAAGTTAATCTTCTGAGCTGAATTGTGAAAAAGAAAAGTTAGATATTTTAATTTTTGGAGATGAACCTGTTCTTTATTTTTTTCAATTAAAATAAAATGATGCTTCCTTGAGTTTGCACTCAAATGTGATTCAAATTTGATCTAATGAGATATTTTTGCCAAGAAATAACATTCGGTTAAAGTTCAATTTTTGTACCGTGGCTGCGTAAATGACTGCGCATTTGACAATTAAATATTCTTAATGGCTGTAGCTGTCAAGAGTTTCTTATTTTTCAGACAAAAACAGTTGCTTTTGAAAGCTGAAATAGTCAGTCTGAAAAATCAACATACCTTTTCATGAAAAACTTATAACACTGGCTCCTAAATTCGCAACCAAGAGGTGCAGTTAAGGGTAGTCATCAGTTTAGTGGCACTTTGGCCAACTGACAGTTCATAAGGCTAAACCTTGTTTTTGTTGCAGGCTACAAACACGTTTGATTCAACTTTTAAGGTGGTAGTTTTAATATGTCTCTTAATGGCGGTTTACTCACTGATGGAGCTGAATTTGTGTGGCTGTTAGAGGAACTGCAGGATTTTTTACTGTGATATTGTTTTCCAGCTGTGGAGGTTGTAGCTTCATCAGTTCATGTTGTCCTCTCTTGTGTGTAACTTAATTCTAATGATAAAGAAACCTTTAAGCTGCTGAGGTTCTAGTGAGAAATAGAAGACAAATATCTGATAATGATAAAACTATGTTGACATACCAACCGCCACTAAAAGTGTGATGCTGAATTTAACTTTGTGTTGACTTTGCCTCACAATTTGAGTTAAAATTATGCAAATTGTGGTCCAAATGTTAATGGCAAAATTGGATAGATATGACTGATAATGTTGGCTGAGTGAGGTTATTGCCAGCATTAAAACCTGGACTGTCAGGATCCCCCAAAAGAAGGAAAATGTTAAATATCCGCCAAGGTTATAACTTACAGTAAATATTATAAAGTGTTAGTTTTTTTATCAGCTGTGTGAATCATGACAGCTTTCTCATCCAAAATTTATGAACTTTCACCGTATGAAAATAATCCAAGAGTTACTGTGACAGTGAGTCAGACAGGCATATAAGGCATATATCCTCATGTTCAAATGACAGTAATATATATTTAAAACTTGTATGTTAATATACTCTTATTGTTTTATTGACATTTTATAGTTGGCTTCATTTGCTGCCTGTAAATTGTTTACTTCATATGCATCAAGTCACAGTAATATAGTTCAGTACCTGATTATACCAGGTCAAATGTAGAGGCTGCTGTCGTCACATTTCATGATGAGCATCTAATTGAATTTCTTGTAAACTGGTCATCTATTGGCAGTTTAGATTGCTTCCTGGTATTGTGGTATTGTGGTTATTGGCCCCATTTCTCAATTTTATGCCATACAAAAATGTAAGCTATGCTGTCAAAAGAATATTTAATTCCATACTTGATTTTCAATATGTATTATCTTTATGGCTGTTTTTTAATAAAGAAGGATGTTAAAATACCACAATTTATAAGATTATCCTGGTTTGTATGATTAACGACGTTGAATACAGCATGATTATCCTTGAGCTTCTCACCCTGATGTCACACTAAAGTGCCCCCGTGTGTGAATAAAGTCCATCAAACCATTTAAATAGTTCATTTTTCTTCCTCAGTGTTTATGTCCCAGTGTTGTCTCTTCCTTCCTCTCTGTTTTCCCCACAGTCTGTGTGAGTTTGTTGCATTTTATTCCCTTTGACTAGCTGCGGCTTTATCCACATTTTCTCCTTTGTATACCTCCTGTGGTTTCTGCATTATTTCCCTGTGGTTTCTTTGTCTCCAGTCAAACTTTCAGAAGTTTTGTTTTTTGCTTGTTATTCATTAAATTGCTCTTGTTTAGCC